GCATCTCCTCCTGACCTGCTGGGATCACCGCCTCCGATTAGGCAGCGATCATTTCCACTTAATGAGTGTCTTCTAGCTGAAGTATTCTCTGAAGCTTTTTGTTCCAAGTATCAGTCCACTCCAGCGCTGCGTATTTTAGGAAATGTAGCAGAATGATGCCTCGCAGCATTGTTCTCGCTATCAGCTAAGAGAATTTGGTTTTGCCCTTGCTAGAAGCACTTGGACGCAGGGAAAATCCCTTTTTATGGAACTGTTGGTTTTTATCTGTCTCCAAACTTTGCCGGTGTCTTGCAGTTTGACTTGCAGATTTTTTCTGGCTGACTTGAGTGTAATACTTAAAAACTGAATGATGAATAGCTTATTTTTGCAAGCTTCTGTGCAACGCGAAGTTTACTGATGAATCCTGGCTCCTTACTAAGGCTGGTAATTACTGCTTGTTTAACTGGTGGTTGATTTGCACCCCCTTGGGAAACCTAACATCTCTGAAAATGACAGTGCAGAAACTGCAGTCTTGATGATTTGCTTTTTATTTTCCAAGTTTTGCAGGCTTTAATTTATGACTGTCGACTAGACCACCAGAGCATTGGTCTCCAAGCAAGCTATGGGGTGGGGGTGTGTGCGACTGCAAAGGCATGCGTCTGTATATTGGAGTTTTTAACTATTCAGCTGTTGTTTAAGATTAACTTGTCTATTTTAACTTAAAATAAGGGAGGGGAGCATTGCTGAAATTTACTTACACAGGGAAGTGAAGCCAACTGACAGCCATTGTAATGGATTGTATTGAAAAAAAAGAAAGTTATGTACATTCGTGTTCATTACTGCCTGCTATAGTTAGTTTACGTTTGGAGTTGTTTAATGAAGGGAGATGTTTCCAGAAACAGAATGTGCTTTTTTGGACACAATAGCTGAAAAAGTATAGTAAACATTTTTTACTGACAGTCCACTTGCTCACGGGGTAAATGGTTTGATTATTACGATCCAGCCTCCGGCTTTTGTAGCTAGCCCGTGCACTAAATTGGCCAATACCAGTGTTCACCAATTACCTAAATTAAGTCTGGGTCATGCATCTCATCTCCTGTTTCTTGTTTGCTTTGAATGAATCCAAAAGTAGTGCTAACAGCTGGAATCCCTGCTGAGGCCAGCTTGATCTGCTCTGGAGCTGCTCCAGCCAGTGCTCTGATAAAGATTGCTATCATTTCAACAGGCTCTAGGAGGACCAGAATGATTTCCCTTCATTGTTTAAGGTTTCATTCAAATATTCACCATGCCAGGAAAAAAGGATATTTCACTTCTGCTTTTCTCCCTTCGCTGCTGCTACTAGAAAACTTTTTTTTCCTCTTTTCTTTTCTTAAAGTTAAGCTAGAATGCGGCCAATGCTTTTGGATTCTGTGGGAATTGTTCTACTTCTTCATCCCCAGGGACTCTGTGCAAAAGGTGCATGCTGTAAATAAATAAATAATGCACCAATGTCTCGGAGTCAAAGCACATGTTCTGCTAAGAGAACATATTATGTGGGGGAGGCCAGGGAAAACTCTGGCCTTTTGCCCAGATTTCGGTAGTAAGTAAAGCACCTAAATCCCTTTAAGGATCTAGCCTTCAGTTTATTATTCTTCAGCAGCTTTTTGATTGTGGCATTAAAAAATAGCAGTAATATTGGATTGATTTTTAGGCAGTTCAGTACTCTTGGAGTAATGTCTCCTCTCCACAGAGAGGCTTCCATAATTTTGCGTTGCACATTGTTGACTGATAATACCTCATTTTTAAGTCAAAGTTTTATTCCCACCGTGCATCATCCCTCTGGTACGATTAGCAGAGCTCTGCTGAGCCAGTGCTCCCGATGGTGGTGTAGGTACCCATCCTCTGGGCAGCAACTGTGCTGCCTCCAGCGACAAGTC